TCCCTGCCCCCAAGACAGCCCTTTAAGCCATCTGCTTAGGGGGATAGTCTGTCTGAGAAGGAGGTCTTCTTTTATCAATCTTCAAGGACATCTGAGGGGAGGGCATGACATCATGCCAAAATAAAGGCTCTCTGGTCTTTAGGTACTTCATGTTTAGCTAAGTATACCATAAAAGGTAAAGGTATTCCCTGTTGACAAGGTTGTCAAGTAGTGTCCGACTATAGGGGGCAGTGCTCATTTCCATTAATAAGCTGAAGAGCCAGCATTGTCAGAAACTACTCTGTGATCATGTGGCCAGCATGATTGCACAGAAATATACCATAGGTGATACCAAATATCTATTGGAGTCACTAGCAATAAAAATTGGAGCACTAGCTACATCCAGTTGTTGCGCTATATCAACTACCTGTTGTTTGATAATTGCTTTAGTCTTATCATATCTCATGGTGAGGAGAAGATCTGGAGACAAACCCAGTGAGCAAAGTTGAGTCCCCAATGTCTGTTTCCACATAGACCGGAAATCATAGTCAAGGTTAGTGGAACAAGGCCAGTGGGGGAAATGGATAGTCTGAGCCAGTAGCTGAGTATAGTCACTCACACTCTGGCCTCCTCTTTCTTGACTTCAGTCTCAGAATGGCATTAGAGACACAATTTGGATCTTGGAAAGTTGATCTTAGAAATTTGGATTGCATAAGTTCTAATAGTGCAGAGTTGGGGAGGGGTGCAACTGATATGTGAAACTGATTTGGCTTGAAAAATCTGAGTACTGCCAGTATATAATGGCATAAGAAATGTAAGGATGGTTGCTGAGCTCCTCTGCATGTTACCAGCAACATACTCCTCTGTGTGCTTTCCTACTACCAGTAGAATGAAAGATTGCCCCCAGAACCCCCATCCATCACAGCCTCTGAGCCATGTTGGCTGGGTAATCCTACAACTCTCAGGATCACCCAGCCAGCATGGCTCAGTGGCTGTGCTAGATGCTATGTTGTGCCGTGCTATCCAAAAATTGGAAGAAGAAAGAAAGAAATGTAAAATTTCTAAACTGTGTTTATTTTCTCCAAATGAATCCCTCTCCTACAATTTTATAGGAAGGAGGGCCATGGAAGCAATTGGTGTGTACCCCATAGTTTTAAGGCTTTGTCTGAATGGTTGTTTATGTAAAGTACATAATCCTGAACATTGAATTTTCAGTAGAAGTTCTTGTTCAGTAATGTCATTTGCAAATGATGTAAAATTAAAATTCTCACTCCTTGGTCAAGAAGCTTGCAAATTTCACAGCTCTTTAGACTTTACTGAAGCATCAAGAAACCAATATCCCTTATATTTAATGAACAGTGATGAGACGTCAACACATCCCTGTTTGTGTGTGCGTTTTGTTTGGTAGAGACTGCTAACTTGAAAACACTACTACATCAGAATATCCCTTAAAAGAGAAATCTCTAGATAAATTTAAATCAAAAAGGGGATCTGCTGATAATTTATTTTAAAAAGGATTGGGCAAGGAACTTGTAACTGGCTTGTATTGAAAGAAGCAATTGATAAACATTTAAGGTGTATAACAACTTTTATATGGAGAGATAAATTATGTGGTATAAAATTTAGAAGTAAAATCTGTCAGATTAACAAATAAAAAAGAAACTATTTTTTAAAATTTTTCTTAATGTTTTGTTTTTCCTGTTTTTTTAAAAAGTTTTTGCAAATTTGTAACTTATGTAAACTTGTGTTGTCCTTATTGTTGTTTTTGAAATTTTTGATGTTTATGTGCATGATTTGTAAAGATGATTTTAAAAAAAAAAAAAAAAGAAAATGTATATACCTTGCAATTTTTTTTTATGTTGCACCATGGAAGTTACTTTAATTGATTCAAAATTCAGTAAGAGATTTTCTTCAAACAAATATAAGTTCCACTCTGTCAGGTACAACTTGTCTTCTCTCTCTCTGGATCAAAGCATACAGGCAGGAAGCTGCTTCTTCTGAGAGTGGGCCAAGACTCCACTGACTGCACTGCTTGCTCCCAAGGTGGCCCAAATGTGCACAGCATAACTGCATAGCATAGTGTCCATCCACACTGCTGGGTAATTTTTTTTATATATTTTTTTTCTCCACCATCCATGCACATCATTATACAAACACACTACTCAAGACTGTCTGCTGTCTAGATCCCATCCCACTGGATGGTCACCCTCTTTAATCATGCACACAGTCACACTTGTGGTCCTCCCCTAGGACAGGGCATCGGAACAGAGGTGTGTCCAATAAAACATTGGCAATGCACATCATGGCCCATACATACCTCCTCACTCCCCTTCACTCCATGACACATCTTGGACTGTTTGGTTTGTCTATGTTGTACTTACATTCAGTTTTTTGTATTGCCGCCCTGACTGCTTGGACATGGCAGCTCCATTCTTTTTAAATGCATACCTGCACCAGTGCATGTGTATGCAGCTTTAAGGTTGCGGTTAGCGTTAGCCAAAGTGCATTTTTCTGAATTTTGATTTATGTATAAATTCCACAGAACCCCAGATGTATACTGCAATGGA